GATGGATGATGGATGATGGATGGATGGATGATGACTTTGATGGGTTTCAGTAATACTTTGTAATAAATACATGAATAAAGCACAAACATACTCAGTTTTGCTCCTGCTCTATTTTTAAATACGCAGTAGAGGTATTTAAACGTAGTAGAGGACATGTACCGGTATATAAAACCCGCGCCCTATAATCCGGTGCGCCTTATGTGTGTGTTAAATACAGTAATGGCTCACAGAACTGAGACTGCGCCTTTTAGTACGGTGCGCCTTATGGTCGGGAAAATACGGTATTTACTTTTTGTCTGAAGAGAGCGTGTTCTGGAAAAAACACAATTTAAAAGAATGCAATTAATAATACTCTGTAAAATCTGTAAAAAAAAAAAATAAAAAATAAAAAAAAAACTGAAAATATACATTTGAGAAAACGTTCAAGTGACTCTCAAACCCATTTTGTACCAAGATGGTTTTTTTTATGTAGTTTACAAAACCTGTTCTTTGCATGCAACAATAATGCAACAAAGTTCCCTCCATACAGCTGGAGGCTGAAATGGCTGATTTAGCAGATGCTGCTTTTCCTCCTTTCATTTATTTACATGATAATAATGAGTAGGGCGGGGTATTTTCCCCAAAGTACTGAAGCGATTCGATTTTGATTCATGCAGTTCTAAATCGATTAATTTCGATTCAATCTATTTTTACAATAATGAAAGTTGTTCAACTGTGTTTCAACTGTGTTATTTTTTCCTGTCACATTAAACACAAAGTGCAAACTTGTAAACCAGGCAGTTTAAACATGAGATGTGAACAAAACTGTCTCAGAAGTGCAAACTTATTTGTGAAAAGTGAAAAAGTGAAGTCTCACTCAAGCAAACAGCTGTGACACAGCGGGGACACAGCAGACATGCATGAGCTGCATTATCTCCACTGCACAAAACATATTTGCAGCGTTTTCTGTTTGCTGATCAGCCTCCATTTGTTAATGTCTTCAATCAACCTATTAGCTATATTTGAAGCTGTCTGGCTTGAAGTAATCCTGAGTGCATCTTTCCTGCTTACTTCAATGTGAACGTCACGCTATGAAATGAATCGATCTCATTTCCAAGACATCGATTTTGAAAAAATGTAAAGGAATCGAATCAAAATCGATTAAATAATTTTTTTTTACCCAGCCCTAATAATGACAAGATGACAATAAATGAGACGTCAGTGTAATCTGAAGGCACGGCTGCTAAGCGTACTAATGAAACGGTAAAAAACCTTCATGTATCAGCTGACTGCCACACAAGGAAAGAAAACACAAATATCGGCCAAAGATATCAACCGGCTGATGTATCGGTCCATCTCTACTGCTAATATTATCGTGTTTTCTATGTTTTGGTCAGATACTGAAATCCTGCTACAGAAAAGCTGTCATTCACTGTAATCGATGCCAAATGATTTAGACTTTAATTCATTTTCTAAATAACCCTGAGAAAACAAAACTAAAATATTTGCTATTTGCAACCAGTTAGCAAAAGGTGCTAAACTTTTCTTTTCTTTTTTTTCTGCATATTTTCAGACAGCTTTAGCTTAATTCCTGCTCTTGTTCATTCAGCTAATGGCTTCCCTAAGATTCTGTTTATCCAGGTAGCAAATCTAGTTAATCATTTCAATAACGGAATAAGCCAATTTATTGTTTTTGCCAAAAATAAAAAATAAAGCAGAATCAGATGAGAGCTACTAAACCAGCAGAGAGTTTTCCTTGAATAAGTCTTGCTCCTTTCAGGCAGACAGAAATAGCAGAAGAGGAAAAGGCGAAGTAAAACCTTTCAGGCGAATCCATGAACTTATCAGAGCTTTCAATTTCTACAAACGTCCTCCATCTTTACACAGATTCAACAAGCTCCACAGCATCTCTGTATGGACTACATTTTGTTCAACTATTATTGCAAACATCACATTTTAGAAAAAGAATTTTGGAGAAAAAACGCTGCTTAAAGTTTTTCAACTTTTTATTTTTATTTTGAAATTCTTTTTTTTTTAGAATACATATTCATATTTTCTCCTTTTTAAATTACGTTATACAAATTGCATTATTTTTAAAGAATGCGATCTGTAAAACAGGTTGAAAAGAATGCAGTTTGTCTAACTTAATCTGAAAAAAAGAAATTTAAAATTTCATAAAAAAATTGAAAATATGTAAGATCTGTGACTAAAATAAAATACATAAATCAAAAACATATTCTTTATTAAGAGGTTTTATTCCTGCATTGAATTGTTTCTTTTTCAAATTTCCTTTTACGAAATGTGTTCCTTCTTTGCAACAATAATGGAACAAAATTGCCTCCATATCTCATGAGCATCATAAAACCTTAGGAGACACTGGGTGGATGAGGGAGGGGCTCCTACTTTAGCTTTCTGTTTTTACCAATAAATAAAGTTTTCAGCGACGGTCTGGCTGGGTTATGTGGAGGTTTTTACCTTTAGATGGAATATCTTCCAAAGCAGATATGCAGCATGACTGAACTCCAGTTTAAAACATCCTTTCAACAAACAATAAACAAATAAAAGGCCAAATTGATCACCACTAACACCCCTTCTTTAGAAATTGAACAAGAGGTGAAAACGATCGCAGATGACCAACAAATAAAACATCTTTTAACTGGAAATTTGTTACGTCTGTATATTTTAAAACCGTTTTCCTATAAATGTAGGTTTGTGTCACGATGGGACAAAATTAACTATCTCCACCCTCCCCTGGTAGCAAAGCATGATAGTTTTAATCTGTGAAATAGAAACAGAATCCAAATTCACAGCTAATAATGATCTCATAGTTAAACTTAAAGTAGGCCACGACAACAAGACATGTCTGCAAAAAAAGACCTACAAATAATTTCTAAGAATAAGTGGTTATGCCCTTAATCTGATCAAGTAAATATACCTGCCCTTTAAATCTGATTACATATTCTGCACATGCAATAATACGGAAGAGCATTAGGGCCACTGAAAAAAAAAAGGTAATTGATTTTTAATTTTTATTTCAGTTTAACATGGGAAAAAAGACAGAATTCTGACTTTTTTCTCAGAATTCTGACTTTAATCTCAAAATTCTGACTTTAATCTCAGAATTCTGACTTTTTTTATTGTCAGAATTCAGTCAGAATTCTGAGAAAAAAGTCATAATTCTTACTTTTTTTCCCATGTTAAACTGAAATAAAATTTAAAAATCAGTTAACTTTTTTTTTCCAGTGGCCCTAATCCTCTTCCGTATAATAAGATAAGGGTTTTAGTTAAATTAAATGTAATTCATTTTATTCCATTAATACATCGTCTCACTTAGCTCCTACCTTCAAAGGAAAAATACCTCATTAGAGGAAAAAATTGACAAAATTAGATTTTATTTTTGCAGTGTGATGATGCTGATGATCATTTAGCAGCATTTTGGTGTAGACTACATATTTCTCAGATTTTAAGTACCGGTAGAAGAAATGTAATATTATGGTAATTGTATCGAAGGGCTCAGAAGTAAAGTGATTTTATGGGTTATTTCAAAACTTTCCACTGCAAAACTTTAAATAGAGGTCAATTGTTGTTTTTTATTAACTGTATTTTTCTCTTTTTGTGTGGAGATCAATAAAGCAATAAATCAATAGAATAAACCATGTGTTGTTTTTTTTATAAAACTTATCCTATTTCAGCTGGATCGTGTCTAATTATTTAAGTTTAAAGGAAAAAATACTAATTTCATAAGAAGATCTTTTAATGTAACTGCTCAGATTAAGGAAAAATACAGTAAATGTGCAAAAAATGATGCAAACATAAGTAGAAATATTAAATTAAGTATATGATGCACAACTGCAATGAATATTTTTGTCTTTAAAATAAGATAATTAGATATTATGGACTCTCTGATTTGAAGGATAACTCAACTTATTCTATTGATTAAATGTTTTGATCTCAAATCAAGCGCAAACGCAACGAATGCGAAAGAACAAAAAATAATTAAACCGCTGCAAACGAATTAGTTTTAGGTATGAATATGATCCATTGATTATTCCTTGCTGACAGTCAAACTATTCTCTGGTTACATTAATATTCAAAGGTTATATTTGAGTCAATAAGTCGATGCAATCAGCTGGTTTTCCTTAGATAGAAAACTTTGAATCAATTTGACTGGATGGTTTGGAATTTGAATTGGAGCTATAGAAATAAAATGATTTGAATTATATGTTAAACTCCATATAAATAACGTGTTACTGTAACAACAGTCGTCATTGCAAATGAATAAGAAAGCATGATCAAGCCGTATTTGAAAGAGAAACTTTATATATGCTTAATATAGACAACAGTTAAGAACAAACCAGGTCTCGTCTTTTCCTGCTAATTTTCTCTTTGCTTCTATTCTACAAAGTCACCGCCTCATTTAACCTCTGCAGAAAGCTTCTCAGGTCCCCAAGCATAAGTTCAATTAATGTAAATGACAAACATGGAATTATACATAAAAGCATGAAGATTTTTAATCTTAAATGTTCTTCACTGTAAACAGGTAGGTTATTCTATCGGTAAGTCGTACCATCATTTTAGATAACGTTTCAATAAGAAAATGGGTTGACTGTTATTTCAATGATTGATTAATCCTGATTAATTGATTCAGGCCTACAGTTTTCACACCGGGCAGCTGAGGACATCAGCAGAACTGTTGAGCCACTTGATGTGACATCACAGTTGGGTTCGAACAACCCAACGGTGGCTCTAAATGTAGAGCCGTTATCTAAAGATCAGCAGAGCGACTGCTTCAGGTAAAAACGATACCCAGCGAAATCAAAACGCATTCCTGCTTGGTGCAAATCTTCAGACCTAGGAGGAGAATTTAAGAAACCAAGCAGCCTTGAAATGTTTCTCTGCACCAAAACACGACCAATCAGGCATTTCGTGCAGACTGAACAAAAATAAAAAGACCTTTCTCAAGTTTAAGCCTGCTTTAAATAGCTGCTTTTCATTCTGTCAGGGCCGGCTAAATAAAGGAACTGATATACAGTATGTGTCTGCAACTTCTCTCTACACGGAGAGTATAGTATATACAGAAGTGGGGAATAATACACACCCTATGCCTTTAAATTTCTGGACAAAAAACCAAAACAAACAAAACAACAGGTACTTTCTATGTAGAAACTAACAGGAAAAATAAAACCCATGAACCATCTGCCTCTACTGATGTGTGTTAACTCATGAAACAGGAAGTGACTGGAGAAGAAGAGGAAGCTGCCCTACTTGATAACACAAACTAGTGCGAAAAGACAGCTAAAAACATCGCATGCTGAGCGCACTTACTCATACCGGTAACGGAGATAAAAATGTTCAGAAAAGAACAGATCGTAAAGATCTACTAAGCTATGTAAGAGGCAAACAGCATCCAATGCTGGAGTTTGCCCAGATGGAAAAGTAATCCTGAAAAAATGTAAAAAAGTAAAAGAAAAGGTGAAATTAAAAAGGGAATTAAAAGGATCAAGCTGAAAGTATCAGAATGAAGTAGCGCCTGGAGTGCTGTCAAATGCAGGAAATAGAAAGGTTAACCCATGACATCAGATTAAGGGCACAGATAAACTGCACTAATTGCTTCAAGACTTCAAATATATAGAAATAATCCAGAATATAAACATTTCTTTTTGATTTTTACTGAATAATTACGTTTCTTTAAAACAACACTGCATCGTCTGCATATGGGTGTCTGCAGATCTAAAGCTGCTGGTGAAGATTTAAGAAAGGTTTTACTCACGCGGCATGATTCCTTGACTGACCAGCTCCTCTCGAGTGCGTCTCTGCTGAAGCTTGAGCTGGAGGACTGCATGGACCCAGAGATGGTGGCGAGAGAAAGGAGAGAAGAAGAAGGAGAAAAAGTCAGCCACAGCCGGTAAATTCAAAGAAACTGCAGCGGTGGAGCTCTGAGCGCGATCACTGATCCATCAGACACATCCACAACACTAAAGCAACAGAAATGTGATGGAGCTGAGATGAGGAGGACCTGCACTCTCTGCTAGCCAGTTCATCCTCCCAGTTCCCCCTTCTTCATTTTTTGAAGTCAAACAGAAGGCGGGTTAAGTGGGTGTAGACAGATTACTATGTACTTCCTGTTCAAGTCTTTTTTTTTTTTGTCTGCACAGCAGCTTTAAACCTGTGTGAGAAAAAACCCTCAACACTCCACCAGGCTCACAAGGAAATGAAAGATTAAGAAAGCATGGCTACAAAATGATGACAACGGATTGTTAAAATGCCCCTTTTTGATAAACAGGTAGATGCAGATTGTGGGCTGATTGCAGAATCGTTTTCAAACAGGAAGTGGCTCATTACATAACTGAGAAGCAAAGAGAGGGAGCTCTGTTGAAAACAATGCTTGGGAAAAAGAGCAGGACCTTGTTTGAACTTACAGCGCCCCGCGTGGAGGCCACAGACGATTCCAGACAAATTAGTAACAGGGTCAGATTAGGTCAAGAACAGAGGAAAGTTTGATCACAAAAACAGCACAATCATTTAAATTAACCACATTACATCCTTTAATTAATTTTTCAAAAAACAACGTCACGACAAACATAGCTTTAACAGAAATGTGATGAAAAGTGTCACTGCAGATACTTTCTGCAAGACTGTCTAAAGCAGGCATCCCCAAACTCGGTCCTTAAGGCCCGCTGTCCTGCAGGTTTTAGAGGTTTCTCTGCTTCAGCACAGCTGGTTATAATGATTGCAGTAGACCAAAAGCCGGATAATCAGCTTTCAATTAAAATCAGCTGTGCTGGAGCAAGGAAACCTCTAAAACCTGCAGGACAGCGGGCCTTGAGGACCGAGTTTGGGGATGCCTGATCTAAAGGCTAAAGAAAAGCATGAACTGCTAGTTTTAGTCTGCAGCTCTCAAAACTAAAAAGTTGCCAAAAAATCTGCTGCACGCCATTATAATAAAGCAACTTTGTAGCTGTTCGCAGCATCTTTAGTCAATCCGACCTTTTCCACTCGGTGCGATGTCTTTCTAAAGAGCCCCACATACGCTACTACTTGCTGCTTCATTAAGACCTCTCGCTGTTATATTTTTTTTTGCTAAATGCATCGACTCAACGTCAGTCTAAAGCAGAGCGAATCACTTAGGCAGGAAGTCAGCTAAAGAAAAGCAAAGTGGATCCAGTGGAGTTTACAAGTTAAAGACGCCTAAGAAATCTCCTGTCCAGGGGTGATGCTGAGAAACTAGTCCATGCATTTGTTACTTCAAGGCTGGACTATTGTAATTCTTTACTATCAGGAAGTCCACAAACTGTAGTTAAAAGCCTTCAGCTGATCCAAAATGCTGCAGCCAGAGTTCTGATGAAAATTAAAAAGAGAGATCATATCTCTCCTATCCTGGCTTCTCTTCATTGGCTTCCTGTTAAATCCAGAATAGAATTTAAAATCCTCCTTCTCACATATAAAGCCTTAAATGGCCAAGCTCCATCTGATATCAGAGATCTGATTGTTCCTTATGTTCCTAACAGAGCACTTCACTCTCCATCTGAAGGTTTACTAGTGGTTCCTAGAATTTCTAAAAGTAGAATGGGAGGCAGATCTTTTAGTTATCAGGCTCCTCTCCTGTGGAACCAACTACCAGTTTTAGTCCGTGAGGCAGACACCCTGTCTACTTTTAAGGCTAGGCTTAAAACTTTCCTTTTTGATAAAGCTTCTAGTTAGAGTGGCTCAGGTTATCCTGAGCTATCTCTATAGTTATGCTGCTATAGGCTTAGACTGCTGGAGGACATAGGGACCCCTTTTTCATCATTCTGCTTCATTCTATCCCTCTTCTCCCTCTCTGCAGAATCTATTAGTTCAATCTCTAACGTTCTGCTCTCTCTGCTTTTTCTCATAGTAGCTTCATCTGGTCTGTTCCTGTTTGGCTGTGACTCCATCCTGGAGAGAAATATCAGCTGTGCTGCTGCCATCAACACCTTTGACAATAGATGATAGAGTTGGGCCTGTTTTCAGTGTTTAGTCCTGTTTCTCTCCTAGACCTAGCAATGGGCTCAGCTTTAAACTGGATATGCTTTACTTCATGCTTTGACATGAAGTCAGGCTCCGAGCTCGTCTGATTAACTCTTCCTTTCCTAGACAGATCCACCTGTGGGGCCAGTTCAACTTTACCTTTTCTAACAAAGCCGCTTTTTCCTCTCTGCTGTCGCTGCATGTGAGGTGTTCCTATAGAGTCAACGACAAATTGAAATATCTATAGAGTAGAATAGAATACAATACAATAGATTAGAATAAAAAATCCCTTTATTGTCCCCAAATTGGGAAATTCTGGTGTTTATAGCAGCAAAATATTATTTAAAAAAAATGGTCTCAAAAATGTGGACCTTAAAAAAAATTTATAAGAATAACAATAGAAGATAAACAATAAAATACTGTACTGTAAAGTATTTTAACAATATAAAAACTGTGCACCTGGAGAATAAATCTACTGCCTCGACATTCCCAATCAAGTCATTGACTGGATCCAATTTAACTTTGAATAGCATTTTTTGGACTTTTATGTTTAAAAAATGTTGCTACAATTAATGAGCCGTTATAAATATGAGCATTGATTAAAAAAAACAACAAGAAAAGAAATATTTGAACTTACTTAGCTCGGATCTAAAGAAAACACGGTAACTAGATAAAGAGCACACATCAGGTAGCAATGGCCAAATAACCATTAAAACTGCTTTATTGGAAGCCTGCAAGTACATTACTGTAACACGATGACGCAATCCTTGCATGATCCAAAGCCACATGTTTTCCTCCATCGCACACTCATCCTCAGCATGTGATCAACTGCCTCAGATTCAGGTGAGCACAGCAAGGACTACCGCTGCATCAGGAACCCACACAACGCAGTGATTTATAGCAGCTACAGGTTATTGACTACCTGACCACAGAGTCATATAGTGGGTTGCATGATGATCACAGAATGACAGCATGAGGGGCTAAAAATTCACAATCAGATATGAAAAGCCCTGAGAAAGATCAACAATGACGGAGCAGAAGGATTCAAGTTAAGATGGATTTCTCATGTACTACAGCAATGCTACCCTTAACCAGGCTTTTAGAAAGCAAGGTGTACATTGTACACCCATTAGTAAAAATATTAGAAATTGTATGCCCTGTTTTTAGGATGTACAGCTTTGGTACGCCCTAATTTTCCCCCAGAAACTTCTCTCAGATTTTAAAAATTTCGCAGGCAGCAGATGCTGAAGTTGGATGCGCCTAATCAACCAATCAGAGAAGCTGATCTGGGAGCTGGCAGGGAGTCAGACACAGCACTGCTGATGCAGAGCGCTATGATCACTCCTCTGAAACCGTTTATTAACGCCTAAATTAACTTAAAATGTAGAAACCTGCCGGCAGAATATGTTTGCTTTTATTATCCTGCTGCTTGCAGTTTGGATTATGTACATGAAAAACGCCAACATCTGCTTCCAGCCGCCACCAACAGTAGGGGAAAACGCCCAAGAGGCGAGCGGGCCTGAGGCAGCTGCTGCTGGGGATTCCCAGTGACAGCGCACCGCCGGTATGTGGGGGTCTGAGCGGTTCCCACAGAGAAATAATCTTTGAAGGCAGGATGGTAATCTGGATGAACTGACTGCACAGACCATGTTTTCAGGAGGAATTTCAACTTTTTACCCGCTGATCACAGCTAATATAGCAATGCCGCTCCCTGCCATTGAACACAGGAGCAGCAGAAGCATCAGACGCATCTGGACACACTTTACTGGACATCAAAAATGAAGCAGCAGATACTTTTTTTGGAATGAAGTCAAAACATTAGCTGCATTCCACCTCAAAATGCAGGAAATAGCGTTTCAGAGAGTCTAAATTTCAAATGCCATGCAAAGCTTTAAGATGTGATAAAACAAAGTCTGCACCCATGAAATATTACAAGCTAAAAGCCTAGAGCTAACCCTAAATAAAGTTAGTTTCTTCTTCTTCTTTTCCTATTGGGGCTAAATCTAAGAACTATTTTATTATCGTTTTTGTTTAAATGTTCTCTGACAGCATTTCTCCATTTTTACCAGCCTTCAGGGTGTTACACTGTACGACCCCTAGGGGGCGCGCCCAGTTTAATTTATGCTACTGATAATAATTGTCCGGCTGCCGTATCTGTAATCTGGATGGTTGGTTGCATCTCTAACTGAAGCAGCGGCGTATTTATGAGCTCCAAATAAAGCGGGCCTTGTTGTGTGTGCATCAGCTGTCCCTGCTGGAGTAACATGCGTGAGTGTTTGCCGTAGAACACACTACTGAACATTTGCGGTCATACGTTATGTCTGCTACTTTAAGGCCACCCTGCACCTGTCCTGTCCTGACGTCACCGGCTAGCCGAGCTGCTGCTGCTGCTAAGACGACGATTCAAGGCTGGACAGCAGCCCCACTGTGAGGCCGCAGGCTTCCAAATGACATTCCTGGGCTCTTACAATCATCGCTGGCTATCCCAGCACCACTCTGTTATTTTTACAAGCATGCTGGGCCATTAGTCTAACACTAGAGTCTCCTCTCTGAGAGCAAAAACATGTTGCTGACGTACAAAACAATCTAAACATGGACAGGCAGCAAATCCCTCCCCTTCACACATAAATAAAAACATACAGAGGCTCTGACACATACTGATGATGGCACGGCTGATATGACGCCACGCTGCGTTGCAACTTCCAGGGAAGAGGTTTATTCTTGGATTGAGAATCCTACACTTTCCCTCTCTGCTTGTCTCACATCACCACATCTTCCTCTCCGTGTTCCTCAATGCCCTGCGACTACCACACACAATAACACGGCAACACAACATGTAAAGACGGT